TGTAGATTGGCGTCACAATCGCTTCCTTCGAATCAGAGGGAAGGCGGCATTCATCAAGCGACTGACGAAACACCAGGTGTAAATGATTTGCCAGTGTAGACGACGTTTCCTTCAGGATCCTTGAATGGACCTCATCGGGCCCCAGTGGGCAGAATGAGTTGATCTTGCGCAAGAGTTGACGAATGTCCTCCACCGTGAAGACCAAGTCGGTTAGCGTAGTTACGCCTCGTCAAGATTGGATGTCACAAGGACGCGGGGGCTGAATATAGACCTGCATAGTGTTCTCTGTAAACGTCAGATACCATGTTCGGTCACTCGCGGGTTCTCTGTTCCTGTCCCTCAAGGGAAACGCTAGTTTCTGCGGCGATGCCTCATGTATTTGGACAGTATGCAACCTTTCGGTGCATAGCTGCCAGGTCGCCCAATGGAAGCCCGAGGCCTAGACTCCGGAAATCCGACTGCACAAGTAGGTTGGTTTAGCACATCTGAGACTCTGTTAAGTGGCCCACATGGATCGGACTCGGTAGGTACGGACGATGGTGAACTATTGCCTCAACGATGTGCTAACCGCAGGCTGTTTTCATGCAGTACCGAATCCGCCTTGCTTCACAGTGTGGCTTCACGGCCACAAGCTCAGATAGATTATATTGCCATAAATTACCAATAACAGGTTCAATAACTGACTGTTGGTCGTTTTCAACGACATGCTCGTCCGGATTCATTTTCTGGCACCGCGTCAGGTGCGAACATATCACTCAGCAACTGAGAGAATGACAGATCCTTATGGTAGATGAATTTACCAGAATAACCTTCTGGAATCTTTTCCAGCTGCTCCACACTGGGACGAGATCGCCACCTCTTTACACGGTGCTAGTAGTTTTGGCTGTGGCGCGGTGCCACCAGCCCCACTCAGACACTTGGTATCAAGCCGAACGGTGGCACTGTATAAATCTTGGATAAATATCCCCTCTGGTCCCTAAAATACCTTGACCCGACGAAATATCTGACATCAAGCGAAGGCGAACGTACGAGCCGACCGGGAAGTCTGGTGGACACGGAAAGCCAGGAAAATGGAGGAGACCCAGGAAGCCGAAAAGCCCAAAGACTACTTCAGTTAAGCCGTGCGATGTGTCCCAGGAAGCCACTCGTAAGTGAAGCCGTCAAGAATCAGAATGGCGTGACCATCTTGAATGATCAAGAACGCCTCGACTGTTAGACCGAATACTTCGAAAAAACAGCAATCATGGCACCATATGGAACCTACAGCTGACGCAGAACCCTGGATGGTAAACTAGAACCCCCTACGGCTTCGGAAGTTGGATGTTGTGCCTGGTCGGAGAAGCTACAAGATATAGCTGCTATTGGATTTCAATGGCGTTCTTGTTGTCAGTTTCTATCCACATTGCCTGAATGAGTACTCGGAGGTGTATGCACCTCGGGATGATTGTAGTGAGGTAGCACTAAGCTCATTCCCTGTCCGCTTTTATTCTTTTCTTCACACTAAGGCTTTCAAATAAATCATGGTTGTACGACAGCCAAGTATCGGTGTCGAATACTTATGAATTCCTGTCGATGATGACTACGATGACAGGGTAACTGTAAGACAGCTCCCACTTTGTAGTTACGAAACTTGGTCCATCCGAAATTGAAAGACCAAGCGCATTCAGATATTAATGTTTGAATCACATTTGCTCGCTGGCGCCTCCGTAGAAGGGTACAAGTTAGTTGGCTGTAGCATCTGTGCGGTGGATTGGTGCGCTAGAGAAACAATTGAGGCTCATTGATTTAAGGTAGTGGGGGCATTTTTCATGCAGGTCCACCAGCAAAAGGGATATTTTCTCACGGGGAAATTTCGCTCGGAACATGTGATTGTAGGTTACAGTATCATACGACGCATTACATTCAGACAAACCCTTCCACTTTCCTTTCTGCGCATGTAACAATAGTTCCAACGGTAGTTTAATGTGTCCCCGGGAAGTGCATCTCCGAAGATGCAAAGGAAACCTGGATGAGCTTGAGATAAATCAGTGGTTATGGATTGAACTTGCTGACCTGAAGGTTCATGCTTCTAACCGAACCCCAACATTTCCCGTCGATTTGGGCACCCTCGTTCACCCCTCGTTCTTCATTCGGGTAACATGGAAGCTAGGCGCCCAAAGTGTGTTACAGTTGAACGATTATTGTTTGAGTTATTTTTGATGATCGGATGTTTATACTGGATGTCACTTTGGTTTTCTCAAGGACTATAGGCTGTGGTGCATCATTTCAACTGGTTTTCCAACCTGTCTCACGAAGGGTGAACACTCAGTCGCGTGCCTAGTAATTTACCACGTCTGGTACAACCAACCTCAGGGCGGATTTCGGTTTTAATTTGCGTGCATTTTTACCGTAGCATTTTACAGCCTCATGGTTAACTACTGCGCAATGGGTATGCCTGTTAACAAAAATGCATTTCAACCCTACAGACTAATAGACGCCGACTTAATCTGTATTGAATTTTCGTTAACTGGATCTGACGTTAGAATGCAGGACTTGTTTTGTCAATTTTTTCGAGGTCTTCTGTCCCGATAGAAAACGAAAAGACCGTTCAGCTGCAGCACCCTTTTGGTGCCTAACTGATATGCCACCCAAAGGGAGCGCAAGAAAGCCAGCTTAGCCAAGTCTAAGCAGAGGTAAACTCGCTCGAACCACTTAACAATCTTGCCCCATATCCCGATACACGACTTCCAGTGCCATCGCCATCCGTTTATTTTGATCAAAAGTGACCTCAGTTTTTCCTTCCAGTTTTGTGTGTCCAATGTCTTTCGGCTCCGGGGCTCGTCAGCCTAACTCAGCTGATGCGAAAGTTTATATCCTCCTGGACCAAGCTTCCTTAGAATCCGTCAAGGCAGCCGGCGGAAAGGAATACCAACTACTAAACCCTGACAAACACAAAGAACGGATACTCAAATCGGGCCAAGATCTTTCAGACGTACGTCCGGACATCGTACATCAATGTCTTTTGATGTTACTAGATAGTCCCTTGAATCGTGTTGGGAAACTCCAGGTGGGTATGAAGTTTATTGATGGCTTTTTGAGGCTCATACTACATCTAAAGCTTAGCGCGTTGGCTACGATTTGCTATGGACTATCTATGTACATTTAGTCACCGTTTCAATGTTACACTTATGTCTGCATGTCTCAGTCATAATATTCATCATGGACGGCACTACACCAGCCTTCAACACTAACGCTTCGCTGCCGTACAACCAACCAATTCAGACATTTCTGAAATTCCGTAGCTGAGGGTTGTTTTTGTAACGTCTAGTCACCCTTGTAAGGGTAAATCCTCAGCATGCATTCCGACAGTCTACAACGATTTCGAAAAGATGAGGTAATCACGAAGCGCTTCTGTGTCCAATTAATAAGTAAGACAATTCCAGGAAGCCATTCCGGTTAGGCGTTGTTGAACATTCGGAATTACGAAACCACCACAAAATAATTGTCTGATAGAATTTAAACTGAGAACTTATGCTGTATGTTGATAAATCTTCGTATAGTGCTAAACAAAGGTTGCAGCATCTGGAGATTTGTTTCAGAGGTCTAACCAGAATACGACAACCTTTCTCAAAACATCCATGCAGTGGGAGATCCAGTGAAGGAGAATACAATTAGTACGAAATTATCAGATAGTGTGAAAGGAGACAGATAACTTATGAGGTTTAGCAGCACATAAAGACAAACGCCGGACTTCCGTTTAAATAGGTTGGATAGGTTCTAGAAGCACTTCACAAGTTCATAAAGTCCACCCATCTTTGTATGCCTCAACCAAGGGGTCCGTTTGAGATGGAAATTCGGGGACACCGTCAGATCAATGGGTCCCAGAGCTTTCGAAGTGTTCGCGTCAACCTGGTGATTAACATGGTACCTAGGAAAAGCACCCACCCTGATATACATGGGACTTAGCGGGATGGTCGGCTTGAAACAAGTGGTAGTCTTTCACTTGACAGATCGCATCCGAACTGGCGTGTAACCCACTTTGCTGTAGCGTAGTCTCAACGGAATCGCGATTCCTGTCCGGTGAGAGGTTCTAACAAGTCCTGGATCTTACCTAGCACCTGTTGAAATATTGATGGTTATCTGGCGGTACATTTCTACAATTCAGTCTAGACATCTTTATGCTTCGTAATCGCAGAGTGATTCGGAACAGTGCTTTTTTTTTACCTCGTTTTATGTATTCCTCGTTCTCTGGAAAATAACTCAAAAACCCTGGAGTGTACAGACATTGTCAGGTAACAAGTCTTCAGAGCTGTCATCATTAGGGACAGCAGTACATCAGTCTTAACAGGGTTGAAGCGACTAGACGTTAAACTAATTGTGGTTTCCTCAGGTGTTTGAATTCACGAGCTACAGTATGCTTAACGTAACAAATTTTTTGTAGTGCGGGTAGATTTAACGGTCACTTCTCATGTGGACAAATATGGTCTAGTCAAGATCCGTTTTACTCACACCAGGCCCAGTATGACGGATACTTTGTGGCTGACGTGCGAGTCTTGATTGTGCTAGCGCTTACCGCACCTTGAAGAGCATTCAACGTTGTTTGTCCTTTCTTCGGTTGTTGGTCTTTAGACACGCGTTTCCATATCAAAGGTTTTACATACGTTGGGACTCATCTCGTCTGACTGGAACTGTCGGTGGCATGAATTCGAATGAGACGTTTCTCCCTTTTCTCTCATATTCTCCTGTTACCCTTTCGCATTCGTCGCTTGCATTCACTTTTTATGTTTGTGACCATGATGTTAAAAAATAAATGATGATGAATGCCGGTGGCAAACTAATGACAAGACAGCAGCTTTCGTGTGCTTGAATTTGGCTTACCCCTGAACAGCTTCAGTGCGATTTTTACACAAGGCTTTTAGGTAGCATACCAATTAGATGCTAACGTCACTGTTAACCAGCTGTTCACAAGGCTGATCAGTTGCTTGTGGCCGAACGACTAAGTATTCGATCTACTAGCCGGGAGGCCGCTGGTTCGAAATTATCTTGAGTTTCTAGAAATGCGCACCGCTGATGATTCCCGATAAGGATGAAACAGCTGTACAGTGCCTTTTGGCTTTTCAGGATACATAGGATAAACTTATAGGAAGAAGTCTCAGTTGGAAATTCCCAAATCTTCTCACACTTCCAACAATAATCTCATTGAGACTGGCAACCGGACCACGTTTGTCTGGAAAGGTCTGAACAAGGGCGGAACCGATGATGGGCTGTCGAAGAGTTCACGTCACATCTGGGTTTCATCAACGGAAATACCTCGGTATCATGAATGATGTTCCAACTAAAACGTGAAACCGCTTTTGTACAGCACACTTGGTTGGTGATCACTATAAAAGGCCGGTTGACTTTCCTGCTAGCGCCAAGTTAATTTACAATTGGGTGTATAAGTCAATATAGGTATAGCATTTTTCTTACGCTTTGGTTGACACTGCAGAACCTCCGCGGCTGTGGTCGTACGTCATTTTATCCTGCGTTTATATTCTTCAGGTGTTTGTACGTACTCGAAAGAACGTTATCATTGAAGTGAACCCCAAAACTAGAATCCCACGAACGTTTGACCGATTTTGCGGTCTCATCGTTCAACTCCTCCATAAATTATCAATCCATGCTGCTACTGGAAGCCATGAAAAACTCCTCAAGGTCAGTTTCTATCTCATCAACCAACCTTGCGACAACTGTCACTACATTTTCTAGATTGTGAAGAACCCCATTACTCGACACTTCCCACCTGGAATACCAATAATCGGAACATCGTTCTCGGCAGAAGAGTGCATCAAACCACGGGAATTAGCCCATTCAACACAGACTGCTGGTCCACAGTCCGTGGTGTTTGTGATTGGAGCCATGGCACATGGGTCCATTCTCAAGTCTTGTGGAGAATTTCTCACTCGTATTGTGAGTGTGAGCAACTTTCCTCTATCGGCGGCACAAACTTGTGCACGAATTTGCACGGCGTTCGAAGAAGAATGGGACGTAGAGGATTATGTGAACAATCAACAAATTGAGTGATCAATGGACAGTTTGTATTGTATCAGAAATAAAACAAGTCTATTGAACTGTCTTTGTTATTGTCTTAGGCTTTATTGGTAGGTCAGCAGTGGAGAAATTCTAGTGCACTCACCAGCCAGATGTGATTCAAACATTGTAAACAAGTCGTCGGTTTTCCAATTCGTGTTTTCTCGCACCATCTCTGTTCGCTTTTGAGGTTTAACACCCGAAGAGCCACATAACCTCTTCCGTCCTGTTGGTCCACTTGATCGGACCGTGCACTATTCGTATCTTACTCATTTTGATCACAGCCAGCCCGCAACATATAGGAGCAGAAGACAAAATGTGCTGAAGCCCTTCACCGTTAAAATTCGCAGATGGGTTTGATCGTTCACTTTTCTGGATGCTTCACTTGATACACCAGAAAGTTTGAGCTTCCAAAATGTACGCTTCAAAACATGCCATGCCATGTTTCACGCTCATCGTATGCTCTGCTCTGTCATTCCAACTGCAAGGGGGGTCGGATTCCTGAAAATTATCTGAGAATTCCCGATGCCTACCGAGACCTTGAACTCCACTAAACGCCGATCAGACTAGGTCAGACGATGCCTCCTCAATATGTAGCACGAGACACTTCTGGATCAAAGTCGGACAGTGTGAGACAGTGCTGGATTAAGGTCGGACCCTCAATATATATAGCGAGGCCGTTGTACCTTCGCAGTCGCTAGCTACAATAAAGCTGTTGTGTTCCTTGTCGGCGAATTCTCTTTTCCGGTACTAGGCACTTGAGCGGGGACAGCAGTCATATATAACACCAAAGCAGGTTACTGCGCCGCCTCAGTGCTCCTCACAATTTAAGGCCATATTACAGCTCTCTTGATAGAATTCAGCAGTGAGTCTGGTGCACTTGCCTAGAATCCGAGCTCAGCTGTTACTATTGCTCGACGGGTCAATTAACATAGTTTTTAAACTCAGCTTTATACCGTAAAGGTGTCTTGTTCCACCCTGGCCTCAGAAGTTCAAGTAGATGACTTGATGCGGGATCAAATAACTTATTGTAGCCTATGATAGACATACCTTGTCTCAATCTAAATACATAAGCCATACACCGTGATCAGATCACAGGCTTTCAGTTAAATTAAACAACTGGATATGTGTTCGAATCTCTGTACAAACAGGAAAACTTACTTTACTGTGTACACCAGCTATCCATGGCATTCTTAGCGTGGATATGGTCTTTGTTCCAACACGCAGTTGATGGCGGATAGAGAGGTCTTTGGTTCTATCTAGTCAGTGGTCCTCACGGATTACGTAAGATAAGAGGGGAGATCCTATTTATTAGTTCAGATAGGCATTTTAATGAATTCAACTGAGGCTACAAACAATATGTATAAGGCTTTCCATAATTTAGCAATGGGTTGCACCCAAATCAATGGACAGCGTAGCTAATATAGACTGGATCACATCGTTATAATCTCCAGGATTTCATTTATAACAGACGGTTTTGAGTACATCTTATTGCGTGCAAAAGTACGCCAATGCTTTTGAGGGGCGGTTGCGAACACCGGTTTGGGAGTGGTGAAGCATCTTGAAAAATCAACAAAGATTTTGATACAAGCGTTGATATATCGGTCAATAAAAGTTTCTGTTGGAGGCCGACGGCATTCTAATACAGCTTGTGATGACGTTGAAAGTAACTTCCAAAGACAAGACGCCTCAGATGAGTGTAATATAATTACGGATGGGCGAGTGGTAGCTACGAATTACAGGATTACCTTTGGACTGTATTTTTTCACTAAGTACGTGAATGGTTCCGGGGAAGTTCAGCCTCATGATGTCTTTGACCGTTGTCGGTCTCATCAGTTCGGAGTAAATGAGACCAGTCAGGTAATTTTTCGTTTAGCAATTACAGTCGAATGACTTCAAGGCCACGCATCCGTGGATCTATTTTGAGTACCCTTATGTGGCAGTTTCTTGCAACCGTTCAAGTATTTGCTGGGACAAATGGTGATTGATTTGAATGAATGAAGTTTACCAAAGCGGACACAAGCTGAGACCGTACTATTAGAACAAAATTGAAGGTAAACATCACCGTCGGCACATTGCGATCCCAGCTAGAAGGAATGTTGCACTCAGGATACCAGGAGTCTTTCTATGGATAGGTCTGTTTGCATTCACTCCCGTTTGTGGTTTTTTGGCCATAGTATCTTTGGGTGAATGAGCATTTTTCACAGATTCTCATGGATCAGTCTGAAACACTGAAGGAGACTAAAAGTTGCCTTTAGGAGTAATTAGCTTCATGGAGTCATGGAAATAAATGTCCGTAACAAATTGTGCTCGGTATTGCTTATTTGGGACCAGAGATTTGCAAGCTTCAGTGACGATCGGTTCCACCTGACCTACCTAGTCAGTGACTCCTAATCTGCAGCGCACGATAAGTCGATGAGAGAAGAGGACTGAGTTAAACGGACAAAATAACCCGTTGATTCCAAATATGGACTAATGTTTCATGATCACAATGGCTCTCGAAACCTAACCACTAAGAAATATGTCCCGTCCATGGCACCGTTGAATCTGCTATCTTGGTTGTTCGGGGTGTACCCTAAGAATTTCGCTCTGTCGAGCATCATACTCCTCGTAGCGGGTCCGTATCCAAATCAGTAACACCAAGAACACGGAAACACTGCAAGCTTCTAGAGTTTGTTGAGATCAAATGCACATTCTGTTGACTTCCAGTCAGACAGTCGGTTATCGACAAAATTAACAATGTTTTGTTTAGACCAGTCACGTACAGCGATCGTTCAGGATTCTCAGTGTTAGTCGGGAGACAGGCCTTAGATGGTGAGATATCCCGCTGGTTTTACACCTTAAAAGGTGGAGCTTTACCTTAGAACCCAAAGATGAGTGAGTGTTTACATCGGAACTGATGCATGTGGTTGGTGGGAGACCTCCACTTACTTCAACAGTTTTGTCGAGAGTACAGTATGCACAACTTTGCATGTAAATGTGAGGAATACTTTTCACGGTTGTCTGTCACTGATACCTTGTTACCAACCCATTTGAATAGTGGATTAAACGGACCTGATGAATTCAGTTCTGAGCAATGAGGACCAACCGCGAGACCACCAGGACTGAAACAGCTGACAAGGTAGAAAAGATTGTCTACCACCCCAATCGGTCCATCCGAAAGCATGCGGTTAGGCTCCGAGCCCACTCAGTTTTGCGGTAGTACTTCACACTTTTCTGGTGTGAAGCGCTTGCCAATCTATGAGTTCCCTAATCATTTTCGAAAAGCCAAACTGTTGAATTCGTAAAGGCACACAACATACGACACTACGGAACTGCCTTCACTTTTCTTGTCGTTGCAGTAACGCTTGGACACTTTTCTGAATTTGCTAGTTTTTCTGGTTTTCCCAGTCACTCTGACCCGGGTGAAAAGTGCCAGTATCTTGTGTCGATAATCACAGCATCCTGACAACTATACCTTTCTAGTATGGATCCCAGTTCAGTTGTTCAAGTCAAAGTTCCAGGATGCTATACTATTCTTCCAGAACGACTCAGCCCACCAACGAAGTGTTAACCGAAGAGAACCTCGGACTTGAGTTTGGATAGAACGCTCAGAGAACCGTTTACAGCATACTCGCAAGAAAAACAGTATGTTGCTGCTGGATTTACAATTAGGTTTTCTGTACTCGCTCTGTGCAGTGTTAGCCTCGCTGTCTTTTCTGAAACAACGGTTCTGGGTTGTTAAAATTTCTGATATGGTGTGTCTGCAGCACTTGTTATAACGACAGGCGCAAGGACCTCGCCTCAAAGACAGCATTGTATTTCAGGACAGTGTGTAATAAGGATACAACTCAACTCCCTCAGTATACTTTTGATGCTACCCAAAATGAGCCGCAGGCAAAAGGATAAAGGCATTATAAACCGAAGATCGAAGAGTATTGAGGGATAGATATACTTGCCAAAGGGCTATCCTTCACGGCCAACTGTATGCTACGATTGTAACCGTGGGTGCTACTGATGAGGCACGCGAGTAGTATGTGGTTTTCCCGTAACTCCGCCTCACGTCTAATGGAAGGTGGGGCTTATTATAGAATCATCATTCATCAGCATCATTCATTTACAATTACCTGATAAACATCTTTCTGGTTCCTTTTTTAAAAGCAATATCCTAATAATTTGATAATTTTTGCTGTGAACTAGCAATTTCTCATTCTCCTGTCTTGGAATGATAATGGTTTTGTTGTGCAACTTCTGATCGAAATGAAACTGATCCTGTTCCTAAACTGATTCACATGAGACAGCATTAATAGGTTAATTCGAAGGCATTTTCCGTCTTTGTGAACATCAGCAGCAGTACAGAAATGACTTTAACCTGATTGTTCCATTCAAACCTGTTCCTGTGAACCATTTATGGGGGGAATGTTGCGTACACACACTTCAAGTTGCTTGGTCACATTAACAACTTGTATAATCACAGCATTGTGGATGATATTCATAAATATCTCAGTAGCGCGGGTCCGAGGGTTCTTATTTAGGAGGCGAAATGTACAGAATTAACTAATGGCGTCACGCGTGCTGCGGTCCATTCATAATAAGTGAGACTTCTGACAAACACACTCATTCGCATACCAATGGGGTCTTCACGGGAGACTCACCTGAACCCCAGCTGGATCTCCCGTTTACGACGTTCTTCAACAACCTTATGAATGGAGTAAGACTTGCCCTTCTGTTTGTCACGTTGACTTATCTGGAGATACACGTGCAAATTCATGCGATGCCATTCCATGCAAACTGGTAGACCCGACGTAGTCAGCCCGATAAGCTCCTTTTTATCTACTAGTCAACGCATAGTACCCAAGAAAATTTCTGATGTACCGTCCAGTGTGAATTTGACTGCCGGTGTCTGCTACATTTCGGTTGTAGAAACCCAATAACCATCCACTGTGGTAATGTGGCATGGTGTCTCGCCAATGTTCTTGATTTCGACTGAATGTGATTAAGATCTGAGCGATAAATCCTTTGGGGTCGCCCAATGCTGGTCAGTTATTTTGTTCGCACATTTTTATGCACTCTGCCAACATCGTCTGAATCAAATGGACTAGAAACGGAGTTTCGTCGAGTAAACTTCTGTCCGTGACTTGATTATCTCATACAATTCAGACTTACGGTTTCCAAAAGTTCATCCATAAAATTCAAACCCAAGTGACAATTTTGTAGCAAAATCCAACGACCCTCTTGCATACTGCAGCTCAACAGGCGCCGGGCGTGGACTTCTTGGCCTTGTCCCATTGAAATCGCTCCACACTCTAGAGAAGGGATGAGATAAGGGTGCAATTAACTTGTGACTGATAAATTTCAAAGTTAGAGCTTGTGCAAAGTACAACATCATTCTAATTCCCGACTACTGTCCAACGAAACGTGTTCTGTGTACTGTTCTATGTACTCAGGAGAACCAATTTTCAGATACATACGTGAATGACCATCTATGTGTTCCCGTTACCGCGGTCCTTTAAACGACCATTGGAGCCAGGCATGACAGACAGAAATAAAGTTGTTTGTCCCCGGATAATAGTTACCAACATTTTTTGTCCTTCCTCGCCAGAATTTGGGGCAAATCTAACTGGGGTTGCTGTTCTTGGCAAAGCTGCACTTAGATTCCATAGTGGAACGATAGCGGATCCTTCTGCTTTACCTTACTTTCGTTGAGTGCAAATTCCTGTGCTTTGTAGGAAGGCTTACGCTGACGAGGCAGCTGACAACTGTCAGTCACGGCTTCCACGCTGATGGTCTATAAGCTAACTTACAACCCATGCTGGAGCGTGGCTCATGCTTGCCTGCTTGAAGAATAACCATATTTGGGCTTGCTGTTACCAGTTCAACTGCCAGATGGAAATCCTCAGTCCTACTTGACGTCAGACTACCAGTGTAACGGCGGATGCTACTGATGAGGTATGCGAGTAGTCTGTGGTTTTCTCGAAGCTCCGCCCCGAGTCCAATGGAAGGTAGAGTTTGTGACGGAACTTGTGGAACAGCTTTGCAGTGTTCGTTGACAACTGAGTGATAGTCAAGGAATATCTATGAAAGCTCAAGAAGGTGCGTGAGAATGTTCAGTTTTTAAAAACAAGGTGCATGTGAGATGTTCACCTTCCAGTCCAATAGCTTACAACTGTTTAGTTGGTATTTGCTAATAAGTCACTTCGCAGCGAGAGGCTTTCTTTCTTTCAACATGACTTCACCCAAGTTATCTAACGATGACCCTACGTTTGTTTACTACTCAACGGTCGGTCATCACCCTTGCTTCAGGCGGTCAACTACGTTTGTACTTTTAGTGGGAAAACGATGCGGTGGTAACACGACATTACGCATGGACAAACTATTTACATTGGTTTCATTCACAACAAGACGGTCTAGTCGGACCAAAAAGTTACACGGAAGGTGCTAGCTTTGGGACAATCCTTCAGTTTTTTGTTGGCCGTCGCACACAGGTTTCCTTCTTACAGAAATGTACGTGGATACGGGTTATTTGACAGGAATAGTATTTGCCCTGCTGTTGTAACTTTTTCTACAAAAACAGGTCATATTTTTTTGGGTAATTTAGTGTTGAAATTCATTTAACCCAACACATGCTTCTTACTCGCAGATGACCTAGTGAAGACAACTCAATATCCAGTGCCCCAATGGTAAACAGGTGGACAAGTAATAGGCATGTAAGTCACTGTCTTAATTTATTGTACGCTCTGGGAGAAAGCAACTAGTGCAAGTTGTACTGGGTTATGGACAGCAGACTCAAGCACCAAAAGCATTAGTGAATACAGTGTACAAGGCCGTACTGCAGAGGTACGTAAGGAATTGAGACGAAATGCGGCGAGCATACGGAATTTTTCTGGGTCAGCTCCAATCGACGCGAAACACCACTCGAATTACTTAGTTTTCACCGTATACAGCTGTTGAGAATATCATGAAGTTCCATGCAATCCGCAAAATTTTGAATCACCTACATCAAGCTCCAAATGGTGTGGACATTATTTGGGGCTTGAGCACATGTCAGTGAAGGGAGACCACTTCCCTGCCCTTTATTGAATGATTATAACTCAACTCTCGTTGCTTGGTCGAGAGGGACCGAGGCATGAAATAGCAAAGTACACTCGGTACGGATATTTGAATGACCGAGTTCAAAAGTGTTTATACACCCATCTGTTTTCTTCTCGAGGGGGTGTTATGCACGCCAAAGATCAGTCCTAATTTATGCTTATTGCCGAATCATGCCGAGTTGGCGCTGTGCTGTATAAATGGGTCAAATTCATTCGTCGTTCGCTTCTGGATTAAAATGATTGCGGTACCAGTAAATGTTTGCATGTCCACTTCAGCAGTCAAGCAGTAGGATTTTTGTGGTTTACCAACACGATGTTGATCATCTTTGGACGATTTAGGTGCGCAAAACAATCCAATGGGTGCAGTACTTGATTAAGCATCCTCTCATGCATTAGAGGGTATTTAACATTTCAAAATTTTGGTCGAAGATGTTCCTCAGTGTGTGAAATTCTTTCCGAAGAGAAATCAGTGATGGTGATTAAAGTTGGCTATTTTTTTTTCTTGGCTATTTCATAACCTGTGATCATGTGATACCTGTGTTTGGCACTTGGATAGATATTCTGAGTTTAGTTCAGCACACAGCCTGCATTCTACACCTCATTCGTCAGTCCTCTGGGTGATCTAAAGCACACTTGAACAGACCAAATAAATTATTTTAGCCATGCTGACCAGTACCCCAGAGCATACAAGTACACGCATAGTATTTCTATGCTGAGGGAACACTGGAGGAACCGTCGGAACATTGTCTTATCAGAGACCTCGAGAAGAGAATAACTGCGATTTCGGGTGAGCTGGTTATAATGATGATTGTGTTAAATAGACCTTATTCGTCACGCATAAGGTGCGGATAGATTGAAATTTTAAGAAATACGCTAATTTGATTGATATTGCAGATTTTTCCCTTACACTTACCGACTGGGTGCGTCGGTCTAAGTACCGAGGAACAAATGTGTTTGAATACTGCCAGCTTAGGTATGTTTAGTGGCTGTTGATCTGTTCACTGACCCATAAACGTACCATCAGTAACTGAAGAGGCATCATCATTGAGCGAATGATGAAGATATCTTCTTGACTGGTGACAAGACGTTTTCCTGTCCATTACTAGACTTGGCGAAGAGTCACCGACGACTGAAGGACAAACGACGGCGCTTGCTCCAAGAAATTTGGAGACCTCGTTGTTTGTATGTGTGTCTGTTGTTTCTTACTTTGCACCCCCAAACAGATCTGCTCCCTTCGAGTTAACGTTTTTATCGGATGGCTCGTTTATTTTGAAATGATACAACTTAGACGGGATGACCCAGAACGCTTTGCGTTGCTGCTGAAACTAGTGGTGGGCACTGAGGAAATGCAAGTATAGTTTGGGTTGTTCTGATTTTTTTGCAGCTATGCGACCTCAAGCAGAACCCTCCAAGTTATGCACCAGTAACTCTTTTCTTGGAGTGCTAACTGGACTTGTAAGTGTCTCAAACGTGTGTGTGCAGCAGGCACGGTGTGTAGCCCGTGTCTGCTGTATGCCAAGTAATGGAAAATGACCTAGCCACAACGATACTTGTGAATGTGTTCAACCGTTTTGAAGTATTCTGTCCATTTCGCATCCGTCCATGAAACTGTGTCAAGTCGTCTAGTTTGGTCTTTATGTTGCGAGACCTGGAACTGTCCAGGTATCAGACAGCAGAAACCGTCGGTAATTAAAAAAATCGTTCAGCTGTAGCAGGTCAGTAAGTGTTCACCGTACCCGCTGAGCTACCTCGAGCCACCACTTACGTTTGGTCACTTTAAGGTGTTAACACATAAAATGAACGGGAATGGATCGTGCCCTGTCATATATTGAGCGTGTAGTTGATGGTACCGCCGATTTGTTACACCGGTCGAAGGTATTCAACTTCGATAGGGTATCAGAATTAGGAAAACTGACAAATAAAAAAGCGAAATGACTAAGTGCTGAAAGTGCGTTGGATGGAGCAAGTAACTGCCTCATCTGATTCGGAAAAGATGGCTGCAACAAGAAAACTCGAGAGAGTCCCGTCAGTTCCGCATTATCCCTGTTTCGACGTATGAAATTCTCATCATTCGAATCCACAGAATTCTTTGAACAACTAATGAAGTGACCCCTGTTGTTGCCTCTTCCTCAAATAAGAAGACCAACTATCAAATGAACCGGACCAGAAAAACCAGACCCTAGACTGGACCCAAACACATGTAGGTTTCCCCACCGACCCAACACTTGTTCAACCACTCTAACACACTGAAATCCCTCGGCCGACACCCAACAGGGATTTGGCTCGACTTAGCTGATTGATTCTCCTTCTGCCTTAAATCTCGACCAACCTCGGAACCTAGTCACTTGGCCTGCCAAAGCTCTTGTGTCAAAAGCGAAACGTTGCCCAGCAATAAATCTACCGACTGTCACCAAACTTCTTCGAAAACGAAGACTAACTACTCTGCTGTCCTTAGGCCCTCTTTGATAGGCTTCGAAAATGGAGATTCTAAGTTTCCAGTTTTTTTTACATCCCAGTAAACTAATACTATGGAATTCCACAATCAGCATAAATGCCACGCGACAAGCACCAGCTAGGGAGTGGACTACACGTAATATGCAAGCTGAGCATCAATTACGTAGGCCAAAGTACATTTACTACTTGATGGCTCCCGATGCCACTTCTAGACAGTGGAACATCACCTACTCTACAATGACACCAGAAATAACTCCGAGAATCTGAACAAGAGGTTAGGGAGTTGTATGATAGAATGTCATCAAAATAGTACGGAGACTACTCAACAGTACTATGAACTTAAGGCCATCGGCAACGATGAACACTCGTTCTTACTCGAAAATCGTATCTTGTGTAACAAGAAATATCATCAGTTTTGCCACTTTGGTTTGCAACAGTCCACAACTGGGTGAGCGACGAAAAAACCTTACCTAACTGTCTGGTTAGAAACAATATCTTCCGAAAGACCTGAGCCGTTCTCTATTGAACCCTCAGAAAATATGCACGTCAGACATAGGTGAGTGGATACAGAAGAACTAGAGAGCAGCGTATAGTTCACCGAATGTTGGCAAAGTAAATGATTAGGTTGCCTACTTCACGTACATATGACTAAAGAAAGTTCGTAACAAAACAACGATATCAGGCAAAAAAGAGCAGAGAAAGACAAAATTAAGCGTACCCTTCTCCACGTATGCTCACTATGGCAGACAGTGTGGGGGGGGGGGGTCGCATTGCCTGTTCAGTCGTGTGCAGCGTGGAGGGTGATACGTGATTGAGGTTATTCGAAAATAATCGGTTCCATTCTTAGAACTTGTTGCGTGGTTTCCGGAGAATGGGCAGAGAAAAGTGAACGATCGGTGACTGATAATGAAAGGTAAAGATAATAGCAATCAAAAAACATCTCAATGGTTGGAGCTCAATGTGTGTTTGTGTGTGCAGAACTGTGTGGAGGAGAGGGCGGACCACCAAAACAGACATAGACACACATTTGGGGAATGAAACGGGATAGATATGGGTGGTTTTCGACAACCGGCTGATGCTGTTGCTGCTGAGGCTTCCTTACTCTTGACCAAATCCCTCAGATTCATCAATGGCAAGCGTAAGCTTCGCCTTGAGTTGTTCGTAGGATTTGTAGGGCGGCAGGTCGAGCCGATTGAAACAGGTGTGGCTCCGTGGAAGTGAGCGCTCGTCACCGACCTTTTCTATACAGAACCTTTGCGGCCCGTTGCTGCCTGCAGGGTGAAACCAAACGGAGAATATCAGATCCTCTATAAACATGGTATGAGAAACAACGTTTGTATGAATTGAAAGCACCGTAAACAACACACTGTGTGGTATAACATCTTTTTAAGCCAGACAGTTGCACTTATGACCGCTAAAGAAATTGGAGAAGCGATGGACCGCTTGACCTGAAGTGTTCATACTCGCAGTAATCAGAGCCCAACTGGTCATTCTGAAAAAGGGGTGTGAACTCAGTCAGTCATGGATCTGAAGACAGAAACATTGTCTAAAACAGGTACCTGGTCATATTAGCGCAGAAACGACTAGACAACAAGGATGGAAGTAATTGGCAATCTGAACACTTTAAACCGAGTTGTTTGTAACGTAAGAAGCTGAAGGAACTATCTTGATGACTTCACTGAAATATGTGGAGTAGCGTAAAGTTAAAAGTTTGCAATGTGAAAAAAGTAATTCGTGGGCCCGGAACTTGATCACATGCCTTAGGATCCTCTTGGTTACTTCCTGTTTTGGTAACTTTTCAGTTGTACGACACAAGCATTTTAGGCTGCAAATCACGTTTGGAATTAGCGAAATCACACTCACGAGGACTGCCTGCAGCGCTCATGCCACCTACCATTTAGTCCATGGTTGAAACAGTCGGTGTTCGATTGATTCACCTTAGTTTGTGCCCCGATACTTGAATAACAATTATCCTAGTCCCTCAGTTGACTACTTCACTATGAGTTTTGCATGATTCTCGGACTATGACTGACATGCGTACGTTCGCGCGGCGAGTGAGCACTTTAAAGCAGTATGACTTCATGTCTTATAGTGACATGTAGAAGTCTCGACCATCGGTAGGGTAGCATTTGATGATCTCAGAAGGTCGCATTTCTTTAACCACCATCCTTGGATCCTCAGATGTTTTTGTCAACCGGGATGTTGACGCTCTCAGCCGCTCTAACTGATTTAACCCCCGTGTCAATGCGTCACACTGCGATGTGGCCGCTATTGAACGCAAGCGGTGATACGAATGATGAGTGTTCCGCTGATCAAGGCAAAACAAACCCACCACCTTGGAGTAACCTACGGATGCCAATAAACGTTCTGGAACTGTCAGTGGCCAGTTGGCACAAGGGACGATAATCTAACTTTGAACCGACAGCGAGTTGTAGTGATGCTCAACACTTATGGTGGGATGAGCCCGCAGAGAGGACCTAAAAATTTGACCTAACACAATGAAAATGGCAAGTTTGGAGTTTAGTTGATTAACAGATAAAAAAATTCGTTCCAGGTGTCCTCTGATTCTCATTAATCGGTTTATTGCACCCAGAATCATAGGAATGGTAAGCATGGACAGCCAGTTGAAGCATCTTGGCTGCCGGTGGTCGATACTGACCATCTTATATCGGAAGCGCTTGATGTGACAATGAGCAGCTTCCCCTGACAAGCTCTTCGATCTGAGCAAAAACAGGATGCACACGCACAAAGGCCTTTAGGGAGGGACGTTTTCGGTTTGGCCAGGAAGAAAAGTAGCATCTAAGTGGGCGATAGGGAGCAGTATTAATCAATGTAGCTCTGCAGTCCGTGAAGCGCAGGACGGAATATGTACGATCCTGAAGAACTATCTTAAAACTTCAGTAAATAGGTTATACCGCATATATTCACATGAACTTGTGTTTTTTCATTGGTCATTAATATCGACACCACGATAACCGGGAAATTTATCACTCTACTCACATCTTTTTCAATCAAGGCCTATTTCCCGGACATTGTTAATAAATCACCCGAGGGGAGGGGGACTGCAAACGGTTCAAAATAGAAATACGTGTTCGTGATTTTTCCAACCACAGCAAGCGTGGAGTTGATATTCCAGAAGGTATGTACAGTTGTCTACCAGCTACAAAGAGCAGATAACCAGCCATGTGGCTTTGTAACCATTCACAGTTGTGTTTCAGGGAGGCAACCGGAAGTCAGAACGACCAGTCGCGAAAAAAATTTGTTTGACCTAGTTGACGAAGTACGCGATGGACCCTGTGTATCGAGTGGAAACATGCATTGTGCAGTCTCCTGATGATAAACAAAAATGTGACTGAATCAGGGCGCAACAGAGTCAGTCGGACCTGTTTTCACGACAAAAAATAAGTGCGCAAAACCTGCTGTTCCTCGTCCGCACACAGTCCAGGATATTGCTGTATAGCTAAAATAAACTGTGTAGCAATGAGGTGACGTACCTGAAGCATCGTACACTGTCTATCAAGCACGTGTACAGTGATTGGTCGCCAGGTATGATCAACTGACAGCCCAGAACATACCGACTGCAATCGGCTTGCACCACCTTCCATTAAACAATACCCTTTCATTCGTGTACTAAACCACTAGTCACTTACTACTGTTTCACTCGGCCTTAGTGGCTACCGCGAAACCGTGGCTTTCGTGAACGGTCACCCTTGCGTAGCCCTTCGATCGAATGTTGCCTGAAGGCGGCATCTCTAGCTAGCGTCTCTCCATTATATCAGAGAGCAACCTATCGGATGCATTCGAATTATTAAGGATGACTGGTGAGAGAAAGAGTGCACTTCAATGTGGAGTGGTCTATTGACCAACACGAACTAAGCGGTTACACGCGGTTACCATCATCTGCACATTCACAAACCTTCTGTTGAACTTTAAACAATAATTAACAAACACTGCAACTCGGTTCCATAATTTCCGTACTAACCTCCCATCAGATGTGGGGATGACGGTTTGACATTTGTCACACACTACTCATGTGGTCCATCAGTAGCCGCATCGTTTACACTGACAGACGAACCTTGTGTCGGGTAGGAATGAAAGCAACTCGTGCAACACTGTCACACATTCAGATTCCCTACCTATATGACTTGCCGTAATGACCAGTTTGCATTTCTGTGTTCTTCTAAAAAAAATAAGCGCACTCATTTCCATTGATTTATGCCCAATATTTATCAATGAGGCGTAGTCCGTCCATAATCACGCCGAAATGAGCATCTTTTCCCGAAAAATTCCCCCAAATCACGGACGACTTTCGAGAAGCGGTTCACGTGATACACCTCCGCGATTTGCTTACCAATCTGGGTGAATAGACGAACGACCACTTGACTCACACACAATCAACACACCTGAGATTTCATGGTCAGGTCAGCCTCTCAGGTATAAAACATATATCAAGGTTTCCCAATATGTTCGATTTACTTTCCGCAAAAAATAGTTTTGGAACTTAAGAGACTGGGTTTCTAGCATGTTATCTGGCACTGATTTCCTCCCCATTTAAGTTATTTTAGAGGCCACCAGGCTCAAACCAGTGCAGAATTTTGATTACGAGAAGGTCTTCTTCAGTTGTGTCACGGCGCAGTTATTTTTATCTAAACTGAATGATGAATTCAATTGAGCACACTCATCTGGACCCCACAGACGTAGAGAAAAAATTGTCAGGATATCCAAACGAAAATCGATGGATGTAGTTTCTTCATCACCGTATCTAATAGAAACAAAATAAAGCATCCATCTGCCAAATACAGGCAGGCCTTCCAAAGCGGCAAGGTCTAAACTCATAATGGATGACTGCAGTACAGGCCGATTCAACAGAACCACATGTAAAGTACAAATGGAAAAATCACATAGCACTATGGGGTCTCGTTCCGGCTCGAACTGCTCACACTGCTATCGTCCAGGACAAGGAAAATATTACACAACACTTTGTTGCCACCGAGGAAAACTTTTCGACTTTGAACTTTACACTAATGGGATTTATTTGGAACCATAACTGACAGCCGCCTTCATGATTTGATTTTCAAGGCCTGTAAACGCTTCTGCAGTTTAGACCCAGTTTCGACAGTAACAGTTCAGTTTACGTGTATTTTCGATGATTCGTTCTGTTTCCACAGAGTAGCCGTGAAGGCATTCTTCCTCTAGAGATCCCGTCGGATGGAAAATCAAAGCGAACGACGGTGCACACAACTTGGGCTTGTGAATAGCTCGAAAGCATTTCCTTACATATTGGTTTACTTACCAGTTCCGTGCACTAAATCCGGACACCCCAAACAGAGTGTACACGAACTCCAAAACAGGACTAGTTCCAATTCGTTCCTAAACTATCTTATGCCAAGATAGTGCTATGGAGAACCGGTCGGTGCGAAACGCAGGCATTGTTTCCACAATCACAGATTCCATTGAGCGAAGGCACTCCCGGCCGATCCTCTTGCGTTGTCAATGTTAGTGAAACTCTTCGTTCAACTGCCAACCCACCGACTGGTGCAATCAATGGAACAAACAGTTCCATGCTTTTAGGAATACTCCCAATCATATTGTGGTAGTCAAGTATGGCGAAAACATAGATGTGTTATTGAACGTCTGTCAGTGACCATGACGACAAACCAATGCGTTCGTAATGAGGTCACGTGTGGTCGTGTCATAGTGCACTTGATGCCTTAGATGTAATTGAGATTAACGACCAAGTTCGAAAATGCACTCGGGTGTAAGGGCGTCAGATATAGCATAGAAGCCAAAACACTAGGCTGATTTGGATTAAGTATGACTGAAACCCATAATTGGGACGGTAGCGGTCATACAGGCCGACATTTTACCCGTAGAAGTTACTGAAAGTGGCGCTACTGGAGGTGCTTCAATCGTGTGATCTGAATACAAACGTCGTAACTAAAGGTATGTCATCAAAATTCCTGGTTGGTCAGCTAAACAAACGAAACGGAACAAAACACGAAAGCGGCAAAGAAGTTGAGGCTAGGACTACCGTGGCAACATGATAGGATATTTCGGCAACTTTGTGAACGTAACGACTAGCAACAATGGCATTCCAGCACATAGTGAAGTGCTTTGGTTCTCTCATAAGACTTGCCTCGTCTACATTTAAACCTGATCCACGGGCCCCTGCAACTCTTATGGAAGGATTGAATAATTACGACTTGCGAAGTGAGCTTGTATCTGTGAGAATCAGATCCAACGAAAGCGGAACGTAATTAATGATGTCCAATATTCATTAATTATCCGCTTTCTGATGGAGGGATCTGTTAACTACATTTATCGTTGTTGTAGAATCCACCGATCAAGAATAGTTAATCGATCGTCGACGGTTTTTCAGCAGCCTTATGAGTAGTGCATCACGAATATGCATTTATCGCGATATCTCGAATATCGTAGTGACTGAAACATGAGGCGGCCTGGTGCAGCACATTCACTTGCCTGGAAACATCACAAACGAGGGATTCAGGTGGGTTTTAGGTGAGTCTCTCGCGAAACCAAATTAGTTTGCTTATGAGTGTATTTCGCTAATAGTTAATTGATTCATGCAAGCACAAAACTCCCTGAGCATATCGCGATGAGTAGGGATGTGTACGGATACATCCGCACATTTATGATTCTCTAGCTGGAATGGTAGAACATTTTTAATCTTGGATTGTTCTGGCGCTTTTTCATATTATCTCTTGATAGGATTTTTGAGATGACCCGAAAGAAGTTTGTCAAATCAAAGGTTCCAAGAGTTGTTCAAACTCCGTCGGGTAACCTGAAAGGTAGCAGACTACATCAATATTTCTATCGAGACGTCAACTTGTGTGTAACTGTTTTGTAAAACCATCTCGACTCGCATTACAAAAACAACAAGAAGTCGTTCACATTGGTGTTGAGTCCTACAGAAAAGCTTCGGGAACACCAAGCCAGTGACAAGCTGCATCAACTATTGTTTCGCTGCCGTACTCTGAATAGTTGCGTAGAGTGAAAGGTCTTCTGGGGGAGGGATTCCACTAGTACTTGAAAATTCGCGAGTAAGAGATACTGAGACGAACTCGTATGGGTTGGGAAATAACGCGTGCAGCGGAACACAATTTGTGTTGTGACGGATACACTAAGGAACTCACCCATCAAGTCCTTGAAGCCGCCAACCGGGATTCGACAAGTGCCAGTCACAAACTGTAGAAGACGCACGCGCTTCTCCTGAGGCAACTCCCGGACAAACTAAAAGGGGCAAATTGAAGCGCATAAGCACTGCGATGCATTCAAGTCATCCGAATTGGCGGTGACCGAAACAAATGAACATATGATGTACGTAGAACGGGGAAACCTAGGCATCACAAACTACTGGGAATGGGAAAGCTGTGCGTGAAGGGAAGTTTCATACGATTGGGATACTCTCGACGCTCACATGTGCCATTCTCCTTAACTGGCTGGACAGGAAGAACGCTGTTTGTAACGAGACGCAGAAAAAGCACCTTTCACTTGAGGAATCATTGTGAAAAATAGACGCCCGGGTGTACCTGTGAAATTATACAGCATGTGATTGCATCACATTTCATACAAAGAAACTCACTACGGAGTTGTCAGGGTTCTTTTTCATCCCCAAGCTTTTGATTTCGTGATGAGCCATATTCTGTATTGCACAAATTTACAGACTTTCGCGCCAATTGACTTCATGTGGTAAGACCTAGAGAACCACATTCGTTTGCTAATGATCAGTCGAAGATTGTACACCAATCGACTAATTTTCGAGATTAGACGATATATATATAT